CTACTATGTACTACTACATCCTACTACTCACTACTACTTACTACTACTTCTAACTACTACTTACTACTACTACTACTACCACTACCACTACTACCACTACTACCACTACTACCACTACTACTGCTACCACTCCTACTACTGCTCCTACTACTGCTCCTACTACTACTACTACTACTAGTACTACTTACTACTACTAGTACTACTTACTACTACTACTACTACTACTTCTTCGCTGTGAATATCCTTTTCATGCTGATGTTTTAAGTTTTTTGATCCCTCACACTCCCCAACCTACTAGCGATGGCCTCCAGCCTACCTAGAAGAAATGACAGGCGAAGCGATCTTAGCCTTTTCATGTGTTCTTAGATTGGAATTCGGATGCTGGGAATCCTTCTGTAGGCCATTCCTGCGAATGGTTCGATGCAAGTTTAGAAACCGAACACAGCACTTTACAAAGGAGGGGTATTATTTTTGGATGTGTTCGTTTTTTATTGTAGCTTTTGTTTTTTGCTCTTGCTTTGCCTGCTTTTCTGTGCGGGCATCAGGATCCAAAAAAGAACAGGACCAACACAAAAAATAGGATCAGTTTAAAAAAACAGGAAACGAAGCAGCCCACGCTGTCTATACTTAATTTGCATTGCGAGGGAGGCGCTGCGCCCTCCCCCGCACCCCCTCCAGCTTTATAGCAGTTACCACTACCCCTGCTATTACCAGCACCCCACTACCAGTCTTACCACAGTTACCACAACAGAAGCAACTACTATCTTCTTCCTTCACTTAGTAGAAGCGCTGTGCCCTACCCCTACTACTCTTACTGCTTACTACTTGCTACTTACTACTACTTAAAACTACTAACTACTGACTACTACTACTACTACTACTACTCCTACTCCTACTGCTACTGCTACTACTACTACTATTACTGACTACTACTACTACTGCTACTACTACTACTTCTACTACTACTACTACTACTCCTCCTCCTGCTGCTGCTGCTGCTAACTACTTACTAGTTACTACTTACTACTTACTTACTACTTACTTGCTACTACTACTATTATTACTACTACTACTACTGCTGCACTACTTTGTTTCTACTACTACTACTACTACACTACTTTATTTCTACTACTACTAATACTACTACGACTACTGCACTACTATATTTCTACGACGACTACTACTGCTACTACTACTACTGCTACTGCTGCTACTGCTACTGCTACTGCTACCACCACCACCACCACCACCACTACCACCACTACCCAGTTGCCACTCCTCGTCCTACATTTGTGCAACCCCGCAAAGGTGAATGCTAGGGGCCACCAGGCAATTGCTGGCAAGAGTGAATGCGACTAACCAATAGCATAATCCGTGCATCTCCACCTACAATGTGGACACACTCTGGAAGATGCCAGTCCAAGGCAGCATCCCTTTTGTGGGCCACTGGGCGGTTAAATCACGAAAGGTAGCTTGAGCTACCTGAGTTCTCCTTGCTTTAGCAAAAATGTATTACAATCAGGAGTTGGGATTGTGCATTGAATTTGGTCCTGTAAGAGTTGATTCTGTTCGTCGGGGGGGGGGGGGGGCCCCCCTCCCCCTGGATCAAATCCCCCCTGCGCCGGTTCACGCCGTCGTGGACTTCTACCAGGGTTACTTGTGATTGCCTGCTACCTTTCGTTCACCCCCTCCTCTCTCAAGTTTAGAGTAAGAAGAAACCATTGCAACGTACCATCGCTTTTGTGGCAACCCGAGGGTAAAAGAATTAAACAACCAGTGGAGTATGAAAGTTAAACAACTGCAGAAACACAAAAAACATCAAAAAGAATAACAGATCCAAAACTACTTCCGGGACCCTTTACAAACTCCAACTTGCGCTGAGTTGGTTCCATGAGCAGCAGCTGCAGATGCAATCGGTTCCTTCCGGTGAAGGGCCATTGTGCATATCTTGCATGGCATATGTCATACATGGAATTCATAAATTCCCCTGAAGGGGTCCAAAGAACTGTTTTTTGGGGTCAGCTCTTGCATGATTGTTTGGTGGGAGTAGCTCTTCATTTCGGTCTTGTGCGCAGGTGAGAGGAATAAACCCACCCGAAATGAAGCCGCAAGACTTGGGTCAATGCAGCGCCTGCCAGCGGAGCTTCAAGGTGCCGCTACTGTTTGCCAAGAGCCGACAAGGGGTGGAGGGCATTGAGAATGATTCCCAGTATGCCCGTGTCAACACCCCTGGCGCTGAGGTTGCCAGAAAAGTATTTAGTCTTTCGGTTTGGAGCCCTGAGTTTTGAGGGAAGTCTACCCGAGGAAGAATGAGAGGTTTGAATACAAAAAGTTGCGGTATCATCAGATACTTCCTACCAAAGAGCCTGGCACACATTTTGGCGTTGGTTCCAGTCACTTTCCTGGCTTTGGCCATCCAATTGGCAGGCCGGACAGCAGATCTATGAGAGTCCGGAGGATAAAAGGACTCTGTGCAACTTGACAGAAACTGCTATGACGTTTGGTTGGAGAGCCCCCCTCCAGGCTGCAGTGAAAATTGCAAGGATTTTTGCGAACCGGTGAACCATGTGTGGAACGAACGACACTGACCTAAAGGTATCTCCACACATGTGCCGTCAGTGCATGAACAAAATGTAAGACAGCAGGAAATCTGCAGCATGCACAAGCAAAATCCTATCGACAAAATGGCTTGGAAGAACCGTTCACAACAGGTATTTCCGTGTTTTCGTCATACCCCGGCACTGCTTTGACTTAGCCAGGTTAGTTTGACACGTTCGGCGTAGCCTGACATGTTGGCCAGGTTTATCTATATCTCTCTCACTCAGTTTTGTAGGGGGGATGTGTTCGGCGTTTGAGGCGAGGCGTGCTATTTGTCGGCCGCGCCCAAGTGCGCCGCCTGTTTGATGCCTGTCGTGGGCACTGTGGCACGGGTGGGTGAGAGCGCATATCATCCTGAGTGCTTGGTATGCAGTGGCTGCCGCTTGATTTGCCGAAGCAATTTTGCTTTTGGACAAGTTTTTTCCCCCCCGTCCCCTGAAAGCCGACCGTTGGCTCTCTCACAAGCAAGGTTACAAATCGGTGTACAGTGAGTGGGAGGTAGCCCCTAGGCTAGGTTGAAACTCTGTTTCTAGTAGCTTCTTGTTCCTAGTAGCGATGCCAGGAGCTACTAGTAGCTTCTTGTTCCTAGTAGCGATGCCAGCAGCTACTAGTTACTAGTAGCTTCTTGTTCCTAGTAGCGATGTCAGGAGCTACTAGTAGCTTCTTGTTCCTAGTAGCGATGCCAG